GCTTAACTTCAGGACTGTTAAGGTCAAAAAAATTTAATGTGTCCATCATTCGGTTGTCCCATTCATTGCTTCCACTCATGTTGTTGCTGAAATCAAACATGAAGAAGAAAAGAGTTAGAATATTTGAATCTTTACACACTAGAGATGATTGTACACTATGATGCACCCATACTTCAAAAACCCTGATGTATCGTGTCCGACACTCGAACACGCATTGCAAAAGATTCAAAAAAAGGGTTCAAAGTTTGCATTGCGTTGCAATTTTAGTTATAACTATTAGATTCGTTGGACTACGATTATAATTCTATTGAGTTTAATATAAATATTTGGGATGTCCTATGTTGCGTTGCATTTTTAGTTCCAACTATTAGATTCGTTAGGACACATTTTACGATTATCATTTTCTTTGCAAAATTGATAGGTTTTATAAGTTTAGTCTCATTTTTTTTTGTTAAATTATTGAATATTAAATATAATATACACTATATAAATAAAAAATATTATTTAATATCAAAATGTGTTCTAACGTGTCGAAATCTAACATTTTGTAGAATTAATATCTCAGAGTGTTGTGTCTCATATTCTGTATCGGTATCGGTGTAACATAGATTGTACACCATTATATTAACAAAATAATTATAGGTTTATCTAACTGCAGCGGTGCACTGCAACACATAGGATGAAATTTGATAGAGTACTTTAGTTCTCAAGTCAATGCAATGACATGGAATGCAGTCCTTAGTAAACTCGTAACATGTGAGCACTTGTCTAAATCAACAGAAAGCTAAAATATAAATCAATCTAAATAGTGCCACAGGGAGACAGAGACGGAGAAAGAGAAGAAACTTAAGACAACACAACGAATTCTGGAGGTAAGAACAGGCATTTCCCCACATAGGTTGGATGGAATGTTTCCTCCATGACCACCATTTTTCCTAATTCCAAATGGAGGTTTCTAATGGGGTAATGGATAAACAAAGAGAATCAGATTTAATTGTCAGTTCATCAAATTCACTAAATGAGAGGCCAATAACTTGATTGTGAGTGTTGAAAAACATTAGCAAAAGGGCCCACAAAAAGCAGAGGCTAACCACAAACTGTACTTTGAGTGACAAATGAAAACGAATTCTTTTAAGGACGTGGCACTAAGTAACAGGTTCAGAAAAGTATATGCAAGGAAGCAACAAAAAATAATTCCGTAGGATCATTATGAGATTTTGGGACTAGACTGGAATTTCGGGCCTCTCGAATGCCCTGGGTTGTACCTAATTTTGTGGGTTTTTCTTGTCTTTGAGTCTGTCATTTTCTTGTAATCTTTTCTTCAGGCTTGGATGATTTTCTGGGAATTCCATTGTAATATTTGAGCTATATCCAAGTTGGGAATTCAGATTATTAATACTGTTGTTTTTCAATTTAATTTTTGCCTTATTTGTTATTTGATTTTGTGTCAGAAATCCTGAGCTAGTTGCCATACAGGAAAAACGGGATTTGGAGTCGGTTCACTTTGTCCTTAGCTGTGGTTCAAACAGCCGCAATCTATTTCTGGCCAGAAAATAATGTCTTCTAAAGGAGGAAATCATTATCCTGCTTTGTAAAATTTTCCATTCACTAGAAAACTATGGAGTCTTTGATTTTTTCTTTCGACTTATAAATACATAATATCACCATATTTTCTGTTGAGATATATAAAATCATTAATGTATCCTCACCCAATAGCTTAAGCTTTTGGGTTGAATTGGTTCTTTACATGGTATCAGAGTCTCGGTGTACCGGGTTCGATCCTCACTTCCCTCCATTTTCTTTCTAGTGGAATTTCTTTTTTCGCACAGATAAGTGGGCATGTGCATTATCTACCCTTCAAATCCAGTGGGCTCTTCATCTACCCTTCAAATCCAGTGGGCTCTCGTGTGAGAGAGCGTGTTGAGATATATAAAACCATTAATGTATCTTCACCCAACAGCTTAAAATTTTGAGTTGAATTAATTATTTACAGTTGTTTCCTGTTTTCGTGATCTTGTGAAGGAAATGTTGAAGAACAAATGTTTTCAGCATTTCCTCATTAAAATAGAAAATAAAGTAAAAACAAAGTGGCATGTTTGTAACAGTCATGAACCAACTATCTCAAATGCTTAAGGCACATGGATGATTTTATATTGCATTTCTAATATTCCCCTTACCCAAGTGTCATTGGGCTTGAAATGTGGAACTCACCTACGTACCTAGAGCTGAAATTCAACTTTTATTTAAAAAATGGGGGCGAGAAGGATCGAATCTAGACAACTTGGTCATAAAGTTCTAATATCATGATATGGTGAGCACTTTCAATACGACGGGAGTATTGATCACTGTGTGCGATAGGAGATTTTACACTATGTATTTTCGGAAATACACAATGTAAAGTACAAAAGTGGCTTTTTTTCTCTCTCAAGTACAATAAAAGCTGATGTAACACACTCCCATTGGTCCGCTGTATCTACTACTGGAGTACTGTAAATTTTTCCCATATCGTGGACCAACTATCTCACAAAGCTTAAGCAATTAAATAAAGACACATGAATGATTTTATATTACACCTCTAACATGCCCTCTCGTGCAAGAGTCCTTGGGGCTTAAAGTGTGAATAATGCATGGCCCATCTACCTTATGCTGAAATTTGACTTTTATTAAAAGAATGGGAGTAGCAAAGATCGAACCCTAAACCAGTTGCATCATAAAGGCTCTAATACCACATCATGAACCAGCTATCCCTTAAGTTTAAGTTATCAGGTGAAGACATATGAATGTTTTTTATACTACATCTCTAACACTAATAGTGAAAGCATATCAATTGAAAAAATATAAAACAAACCAAAAGCACCCTAGTCTTGGTTGAAATGTGTCAAAAGCTTATGCAGGTAAGCATTTTCCTGAAGCTTATTTTTCCAAATAATTAACATCTGGGTCCATGCTGTATGAGAATGTTGGTGGGATAAAAAGGCTTTGAAGAGACGGAAAAATCCACAATGTTATCGAGTGCATCCCTAGTTCATTTTTACTAGGATACGTAGCCGGATTCTGGAGTCCTAGAAATTTGCACATAATCCGTCTACGTATCCTAATAAAAATGACGTAGGGATGCACTGAAGTTTTGTTCCAGGAGAGACAGTATGACGAACTTACAACATTTCTTCAAGTTGTTGACGGTACCGCGGATTCTGCAGCATCCCTATTTAGAAGCAGCAACAGCACAGCAATTATTTCCCATTGGCCAATCATAATAAGATGTCATGTAAATTAAGTGCTTCAATTATATGGTATTTGTAACAAATAAAAAAATACATCCATATAAAAGTGTTGTATATAGACTATATAGTACATGTAAATAAAAAGTGACAAGAAGCATATTCAGCATTGTGGTTACATATGATTAGCACTGCATCGAACCAGAAGCCAGAAAATTGTTAAAAGTAGAGAATTACATTTGAAGGTAGTAGGGTTCCTCATCTCCTCAGGTAAATAGCTGCAACAGTACCAAAAAATAATTAACTTTCTTTTGGATAATAAGGGAGAAAAGTTTTAAATAATCTAAACAAGCATGTAAATGATATCTGCAAATTTTAATCAAGTAGTAATCACAAGGCACAACACATTGAGCATCAGCTTACTGTAAGACAATAAGAACCAGAGAGAGAATCAAAACTAGCTCTACTCGATGATCAACTATTAAAAGGATATATAGCAGGCAGCAGCAAAACCAGTTACACTTTCTTTTGGGGATATAGGATGTTTATTAGAAAGGAAAGGAAAGAGTATAGAAGCAGAGGTATCACATCCAGTAAAACTTTAGACAAATCCAAACTTCCAAGTAGTTCAATAGGAATAAACAAATCATGGAATTACTTCAAAGTCCAAATCAGAGTATATCACAGGTACTAACGTGCACTACTGTCATCAGCATTTCTAAGATCAGACTGAAATACTAAACACTTCAACCGTTTAAGGAACCTTTTTCAATAATTTAAAACTAGGATCTACTAAAAGCTTAAAAGTTATTCATATTCATACTGACAAAACCAAAATAAAATATTTACTAGAAATGCAAAATCATAATCATTATTAAGATGAAAGGAACTAATATTACGGATAAACCATCTTCTGCACTGTTGGGTCTTCCATCATTTTCTCCAAAGCTTCCACTGATAAGACTAATTTTCCTATCCAAAAATAAACAAGGGCACATTAAGGACATTTGGTCAATCCAAACAGCAGCTCATTAAGGCAACATTGAAAGAACAATTTAAACAAGGTATTTTCATATGCAAATCTAAATCCAGAGATCATAGACGGAAAGAATATTATCTGCAGTATATAATATGTGAGTAAGAAGTGGCTAAAAAAAACAAAATCAAAATACAAGAATCGTATCTCAAAGAACCGATGGAGAGAAAAAGTCACATCTAATCCTCTATCCCTTTTGAAAAATCTCAATCAAACAGAAACCATAAAAAAAAATGAATAAAATAGTAATATAACAATAGCATATTCTACTAATGAACAACAATAAATCTATTCCTAAAGAATTCATAGCCTAAGCCTGAACTTACAGCTTGTACCGCAGGGTACATAAGATGTGTCCCATGAAGGGTGAAATAAATTGATATAGAAGTGCTCATGGTGGCAATAGTAGAGACCAAAATACTAATGAAGCTTCTCATGTATGTAGATCAAGGGGGAGTGTGTGTGAGGCTTAAATGGCTCTGCATGGAGACAGAGTAACAACATAGGAGAGGAGTAGAAGAGTCGATCCCCCCTCCATGTGTGAGGGTCTGAGGAGGGTATTTAGAGAGGAGAGTCCTCTCTAGCATGGGGGAGTGAACTAGTCAGTCTCATGAGCTGTCTCATCAAGCCACATCTTGTCTTGAGACAAGACATGTTGTCCACTATCAGTGTACAGGGGCAGAAAAAAAGAATATCCCAGTGGTGAGCTTCTATGGCTTGCTATGAGTGCCTTCTAGAAGGTTCTAAATGTGGGCTTTGAGAGGTTGGACCCGACTGATGGGCCTAAAGTGAGTATCCATAACACAGCTATTGCTTGCAATTCTAATATCATTATTAGCACCAAGACTATCCAGCACAAGCATACACCTAACCCTCAAATTGACTTCGAAGAGCTTCAACTTACCAAGCTTAATCCTCACAGGCTGTTTGACCTTAGGATTGAAGGGAATATTGTTTGTCTGATGCAGCTTCTGCTGCACCTTATTTTCTAGACCAGTTGCATCCTGTGTTTGACCTGTTAGAGGAAAATTAAGCACTGTAGTGTTACGGTGACCCTGGTAGAATTTTTGTAAAGATCCTTCACGTAATTGTGTGTCCATATACCAAGAACTTATATGGCTTCCAACCTCATGGTACATTCCAATCTTCTTGTTTGGATTTCTAGCAGTAATTGTCACATTGAATGTAACATAAAGGCTGGTATTATTAAAAACATTGAACTGGGTTATAATCAATTTGTCCATTGCATGGTATAGTACCCCAATGGTGATTGCTGTAGCAATTATCAGAATTAGCAACATGCTGAAAGTCCAACACAGGAATTTGCAGCAACGGCTTCTTTTCTTTGGTGGCTTGGAATGCATCAATGGAATGGTGCATTGAGGAAGAGGTGGATAATCTAGAGGATCACCCATATCAGATTTAGAAGCATTCCTAGGCACCAAAGGTGCTGTAGGTCTTAAAGGTGCTTCCACATCATGAACAAGATAAATTCTGTGATGATCTGACATATTTGTATCAGAAAATTTAAGCTCAAGAAGAAATATAAATGATCACTGCAATTTGTAGACAGTTACAGCTCTTGACATTAATACTTCTCATTGTTGCTTCTTTTTTGTTATCACTATATAGATGGATAAATGGGGTGTAGTAAGGTGGGAACACGAACTTGTATGGGAGCAGGTAATGACATATAAGAAGGCATGAAGCTTCCAATGTTTGACTTGGGTGGTTAAAAGGGTCACCATCGGGTTTTATTTTAATTTGTTTGATAGATTTATATGAGCCAAATTTCAACATTGTATCATAAAAAAACTAAAGCAGTATGTAACGCGGTGCACCTAACTTTCTTTGCTTTTAAGTATCATTAGGAACCATAATTCTAGTATACCAATGTGTATACTGTTTCAATTAATCTTACATATTATTGGTCTATTATAGTAGTCAAATTAAATCTCAAATAAAAATCTAACTCAAACTTGCATTCCTTAGAGTGGCATTGACAGTAATTTTCTATATCATATTTACCCCAAAAAAAAGTTCCATTTTTTTTCTTTATAATGATATATCTTTCATACTCCTCTATTCCTTTGCACTAGTATTATTTTTCTTTTCTTTTCTTTGTATTGAAATAGTATTAAGTTTTCTCTTCCATAGAAAAGAGGGCGTTTAATTTTGAGACAATCGAAAATTTGTGAGAAGGGAATCCCCAAACTTATAAACCATTGAAAAAGAGTAGCCGTGAACTCAAAACTGTCTGAAGTTTCAAACCGAACCTAAGAAAATATTTAACAAATTAATCCCTCATTTGAATCTGGATCAAATCTTGTATTTTATGTATTCACCCTTTTTTTTATTCTCCATTTTACCTCTGTTGAGCGTTGACAGCCTTAATGTTTCTTATTTGTAATGATTCAAGAATCAATGACTATCTCCACAACATTAACACAGGATTTTTGAGAGTGCTTTGTCCTCATTCACCACACACTTCATGGAAAAAATTTACCAGGAGATCACTCATTCTAGAATTGCTCCAAGTCAAGCACGCTTAACTATGGAGTTCTTCTATTACGAGCTACCAAAAAGTAAATACATCTGTTAGTATAAGTCCTACCAATTAATTCTTATAAGTTATTCCCAACTGTACATTCTTATACCTGCACAGTTTTTGGAATCTCTCTCTTTCGAGTGTCGATTCGATTCATTCATGTAACCTCGCTAGAAGTCTGCTAGGAGCCGCTCCTTGTCTGTGCCCTCGTCAGCTCTCGAGATGTTACATTATTTTCGTCTACTAAACTAAAAAAATAATGGGGTGAGTGAAAATGCAACAAGTTCTCAAGAGTCATTAAGACATTCGAATCGCTCTATACCAAGAAAAAAAAAGAGTAAACACCCTTTTTAGTCCCTGGCAATATCTACGAAGTCCTTTTCAGTCCCTGGCAATAAAAAAGGACCAAATTGGTCCCTGAAAGTACAAGAAAAGGGCCACTCTACATATTTGGGAGTTGACATAAGGACTAACATGACCCTTTTTTTGTAATTTCAGAGACCAATATGGTCCTTTTTTATTGCCAGGGACTAAAAAAGACTTCATAGATATTGACAGGGACTAAAAAGGGTGTTTACTCAAAAAAGAATATCAAACACCAAATAGTTTAATTTCTGTCTAACTATATGGTTCTTTTATGTAAAGGGAACTTTAACTCATAATATATAACCAGTTAAATAAATGAGTTCCATCGCTTCAAAGTTATATTAAAGCCCCACATTATTCTAATTAATTTTATTATATACATGGGACATGATCCTTTAACACTGGTGTCTAGCTTTAAAATTTGACACCAAATCCTAACCGTTAATTTTCGCCAATCAGCGGTTATTATTTATTTGGAATTAATAATTAATTAATAAGTTTGATTCCTAATAAATGATAATCGTTGATTGGCGGAAATCAACAGTTAGGATTTGGTGTCAAATTTCAGGATTTGACCCCAATGTCAAAGGATCTTATCCCTCTATATATATATATATATATATATATATATATATATATATATATATATATGGGTTAAACTACGGTCCTGTTACAGCAAAACCACAAATTTGTCCGGCTGATACATTGATATTTGTGCTTTCTTTTTCCAATTTTTTTTTTTTGAAATAAACATGTGGGCCCATCGGTTGTTTTGTGTCAACGAGAAATGTTTATGTTTTCTTGTAACATAACCCTCATTTTACCAATATATATATATATATATATATATATATATATATATATATATATATATATATATAGAGGGATCTTTCGACTCCCTCAGCCTTTGATTAAATATTAATTTCAAATAAATGACAATAGTTAGATGAACGAAAATCAAAGGTTAAGATAAGAAGTAAGACTTCAGGAGTTGTAACACCATGTGTGTATCTGGTGTATTAACATACATATTATATTAAGCGCAAATAAACGTGGGAGCTCAACTATAAAATCACTACTAACGTTGGTATAAAACATGATTAACTTTTTTTCCCTTATGTATTATAGTTCCCATAATTAATCTCAACTTTACTATATGACAATAAAGACACATATCTGCATAAACCATATTGCCTAGCAATCCATTGCTTAGGCTATCACATCCATAGCAGGTCTCAAAATAATATCCATAGTGTTACTTACATAATTATATCAACCAACCAAAACAGATATAATTAGGTAAGTAACATAGACACATACATAAATCACTGATAAAATGCATAAACTAACAGCATGACATTGACATCCTCTATGCTCTCCAAAAGAATAACATGGCATATACATCTCAAAATATAATAAATCATAAATAATGTCATGTATATATCAAAATGCTAGTCTATATTCACATGCCATAGCATGTCACTACCCTGGCCTCCTGCTATACGATGCCTTGGCACTATCAGTCTCTGTACCTGAAATGTGTCCCCACACGGGGTGAGATAATCATCTCAGTAAACTAGAGCTCCTAGGAGAGCTCTCCCACCCCTAAGTTCACTTCAGGTATAAACATAGTATAAATCATATATGCATCAGAATATGTATATCATGCAAGTGAGCAATAATGAATCCTATTGTCAGAGAAAATAACATGTATGCTTTACGCAAGGAAACCCGTCTTGCGACATATCAGTACAAGGAAACTCGTCTTATACTATGCATAAGGAAACCTATCTTATGCCTCACACAAAAGGAAACCCTTCTTGTGTGAGACACAAACATACATACATATACATGCATCATAATACCAAATCCATTTCATAACATACCATATATCAAAGAATCATTCTTCCTTGGAGTCTGGTGGAATAAACGGGAGATTACCCTAAGAATCAAAAGCTTACCTATAATAGCTTCTAACTAAGCCTACTCCAAGTTCAAGTAAGGTCCAAAATAAATACACGTGAGTGTCAACTCTACTCACAACACCTAATTCAAGGTGAAAAGCATCACAATTAATCACATAAATACAAATAACAAAATAAGTCTCATTATCAAACCAATGTGTGATACTTACCTCAAGCTCAAGAAATCAAGAACCAATGGCATGTTCCATTGCTTGACCAGATCCTTGATCTATCTCCACAAGCTCACTTGGTTCCACACTATAAACCAAGGAATACATATCCATCAATATCCATATTTGTAAAACTTAAGGTTTCCACTTAACCATAAGCAATATATACTTTGTGGAGACTTAGATTCACATTTCAAATGTCCAATATTATCTCTTAAAGGTCATACACCATTTATAAAGATTTTATTTTGGGAAAATCTCATTTCTGCTCGAAACAATGCAATATCTGGATATTCCTCGAGGGCATTTTCGAATATAGATATCGATATTTGGATATTGGATTCCCAATATCTAAATATTTTGCGACCGATTGCAGAACAACAAGCTACACAAGATGGGGTTCATTTTACACTCAAAACAAAACCAAATACCACTCTTTCAACACCCTAAATGCATTTTTATACATAGTTTACATTCCAACCTTCCATTTATCAAAATTCCAATTCCAATAACCTTAACACATGGCATTTCCATCAATCATAAGAAAAGGGTTATGACTTTTTACCTAGAAGCTTCAACAATCAAGGAAGAAAGGTTTCCCTAAGCTTTCACACATCTTTTTCTCCAGCCAATGTCCAAATCCGAAATGACAACTAAGTGAGTCTCATTTTTTTTCTCAAACACAACTACCAACAAGTGGAAATAATAGGGGATGTTAGAGAATAATATAAATCATTAAAAAGGCTCTCACCCAACGCCTTAAGGTTTTGGATTGAAGTAATTCTTTACATGGTATCAGAGCTTAAGTGACTGCAAGGTCACAAGTTCGATCATCACCACCCCCCACTTTAAAGTGGAATTAAAATAAAAAACACAAAAGGTAAACCAAAAAAATTGGGCATGTGCAATATCCACGCTTCTAGCCCAAAGGGCTCTTGCGTGAGGGGGTGTATTAGAAAATAATATAAATCATTAAAAAAGCTCTCACCCAACGCCTTAATGTTTTGGGTTGAAGTGGTTCTTTACAGGGGAATAAGGTGGAGATGAAGATTAGGAGTGGATTTCCTTTGTTTCAAGAGAGGAATGAGGAAGCACAATGGTGAGGAGAAGAAAAACTCACCTTTGGTTATGGGAGGGTTGTCCGAGGGAGAGAAGGAGAGGAATGAGGGAAATGAGAGTTTGAAACACAACTTAAGTGAGTTGTATTATCCAAGTGGGTATAAACTTATCTATCTCGTTCACTTAACTCTCTTTCAAACTTGACGTATTGGCTTATAATATTTTTTGCAATAATTTCCACTAATTTACTTTCAAGTTTCGGGTGATTTCGCCTACCCGCATTTTTACCGCAGAACTATCACTATTCACATTTTCCCCTAGAGAGATTTTAATCTATTTAATTAGACTCAACATCTAATCAATTCTCCATTATACACTCTTAATTCCTCAATTAATTCATAAAC